GGCTGAAATAGTTCGAACACGCCCATGATGGTGGGACAAAATGAGAAGGAGTTACAGGGGGTGAGCTCGACTTCTCATCGCTCTTGTTCATTTCGGAACATAAATATGTCCAGATTCTTCTTAAAACTTTGTATAGATGGTGACATCACAACATCTGCGGGAAGCTCATTCCATGGTTTGACCACCCGAACCGAGAAGGAGAACTTCCGCACATCCAGCCGTGCTGCTGAGTGCGCAGTTTTAACGGGTGACCTCGGAGGTTGGTCGTGGTAGCAAATTCAAAGAAGTCCTCGAAGGCCAGACTGCAATCCAACCCCTTTACAATGCGGAAGGCTTGCAAGAGATCTCCGCGAAGTTGCCTGTAACTCAACGGAAAGAGGTTCATATTTACTAGGCGGGTTGCATAAGGAAAGGTGGTTTGACCCCTAACCATCTTCGTGGCTCTCCTCTGGACTCTTTCGAGGCATTTTTGATCCACAACAGCCCACGGCCTCCAAGCTTGTATGCCGTACTCTAAATGCGGCCGGACGAATGTTCCGAATGTCTTAGAGAAAGCTTCTTAGTCAAAGTCCATAAACGCAGCTTGATGGCGTACAGTACGGACATTGCGCTTTTTGCCACCCTCGAACAGTGGGCGGATGGTTTTAGGGAACTCGTCGTAAGCACACCGAGTTCCCTTTAGGCTTCGACCTCTTGTAGGGTTGCACCGCCCAGAAAGTAGCCTCTTGTGCTGGCGGATCTGGCTGTGCTGCCTAGGCGAAGTATGCTGCATTTGGCAACGTTGAACCGCAGGAGCCAACGGTTTGACCACTCCTCCAACCGATTCAGGTTCATCTGCAGTCTGTCTTCGTCGGCAAGATCCCGAATTACACTCCATATATTCATGTCATCCGCAAACATTGCTACTTCACACTCTAAATCTCTTGCGGCATCGTCCACGTAGATAAGGATTAAAATGGGTCCCAGTACTGAACCCTGGGGGACACCATTATCGACCATGGCCGGATCTGACTTTCCCCGACCGATGCACACAACCTGGTGTCGACCCACAAGGAAGTTTTCGATCCATTTAAGGAAGTTCCCACCGATCTCTATTTTCTTCAGCTTATGTAAGAGTCTTTGGTGTGGCACAGTGTCGAACGCCTTCTGGAAGTCGAAGGCTATGTGGACCGCGTGCCTGTCGTCGAGAACTCGGGTCCAGCTCTGGAGAGACTGCAGCAAGTTTGTCTTGCAGGATCTTCCTTTCCGGAACCCATGTTGGCATTTCGATAGCAGGCCGTGAACTTCCAGGAATTGCATCAGTTCAGTCTTTATGATCCTTTCCATAACTTTGCAGAGAATGCATGTCAGGCTTATGGGCCGGTAATTTGTCGTCGCTGCCCTATTACCTCCTTTGTGTAGCGGAGTAATATGCGCCAGCTTCAAATCGACAGGAAGTGTTCCAGTGTCAAATGATGTTTGAAAGAGCATCGACAAAGGCACAGAGAGCTCACTGGTGCGCCTGGCTCATAAACAACGATACCTTTTGTAATTTCTAGAATTACTCATGCAAAAATTGATCTTATTGCTATTTACTTATGAATACGGGACTCAATAGCGAAAGCCTCATTTCCTTGATGAGCTGACTTAAACTGACTTATCACTCCGGTATTTAAGAGAGGAAGTGGAGCATCTGAGAATAAATGTAGGCCCGCAAATCTTGCTTCCATTTGTTACAAAGTCATGGAGAAAATAATAAAGAAAGCGTTGACGCATTTTCTAGAGTAGAAGCACATTTCGGATGCCTAACAGGGCTTTCGAGGTGGTAAGTCCTGTCTCACAAATCTTCTGTTTTCACTTGAACGCTTTGCTAAAAGCACGCGGTGAGGACAATATGGTACACGCCACCTGAATTGGCCCTAAGGCTACAAGGCTTATGACGGCGTTCATCACAATCGCCTCTTGCACAAACTGTGCAACGTAGAAATTCGCGGACGTATCTTTGCATAGATCCTGTCACACAGTTGCCAGTGTTCTTTTCGATTGGAGAGATAGGAAGTTGTCGCATTCGTGATATCTTGAAGAACTTGTCCCTGGCTCCAAATCTCCTGGAATCTCGTCGTAAATGTGTTCATTAGTCGGGTGCCGTCGTGCTTGTCAACTTCGACTGGGACCACATCGGATTCAGGCAATTTCCCATTGGAGATTTCGTCACGCTTTGATTGTTTCTGGAAGGAAAGATAGGAGGTCCAGGTCGGTGTTCGTTTCCACTCGGGGAATGCGGTCGTTGGTGATATCGGAGATCTTGGATATGCGATTGAGAACATTTCTGAAGCGCTTGACCCAGAGTATTGGTGTTCCGTTGGAGCTGAGAAGCATTACTGTCTAAAGTCGTTCGAATAATTTCTTCGTTTGGCTGAGGTCCGCTTATCAATGAATCTCTATGGCCTTGCAAATCCTCCAGGAGTCTGAAGCTCGCACAGTTTTTGCTGCACAAGGTGATGACACTTGAGTAGAGAGGCTTTCCTTGTGTCGGTCCAGTGGTCGATGTGGTCTTCGTGGAGTCGCTATTCTCGGCGAGCAGATTGCGAATGTTTTCGTCGTCGTCGCCAAACCAGTCCTGGCTTTGATGGAAGGGAACAGCAGAGGACATCCAGGGCGGTGGATTAGATGACGGTCCGCAATTGACACCACTATATCTCGACGGTGATGTGGTGCTCTGGAGCCCGTAGCTTATTCACTCGTTGGGCCAGTTGATTGCCTGATATGAAGCGGTGAGAAGTCACATTCAACAGAGGAGTATTCAACATGCCCGACGGTCGTTTATCATATGGCTTTTCGTGAGATTGCAGCCGAACCCTCGTCTTGAGAGCTACGAAGTAGTGATCCGTCCAACTGTTGGAGTTGCAGGTCACCTTGCCCACCAGCACGTACTGTCGGTCTTGCTTCCGGACTAGAATGTAGTTCAGCAGCTGTCAGTGACGTGATCGGGGGTGCGTTTAGCTTTCATTCTCTCGTGTCAGAAGTTGAAAGAAGTTGTTCTAGAGAGGACGGCGGAATTCTAGGCGAGTTCGCAGAAGGAGGAGGTCGTCGTCATTTCAGTCGGCGATTGTATGAAGACCCGGAATTTCTCAGTAGGAAGCGTGTTCTCTCCCAAGACGGGCATTTATGTCGCCGAGAACAATCAACTTGTCCGCCCTTATCACAGTCACCAACAGGGTGTGCAGGCCTTCATTGAAGTTATGCCTCAACTAGTTAAAGCTGATCATCTGGGAGAGGGGGTGTATATCTTGATGATGCTGGTGAACGTGTTTCACCAAATATGCAGACACACAGTCATGGGGTAGCCCCTGATGCACTGCGGCATATAAGCAGTCATCCCTCGATGTCTTTTTGGGTGGCAAAGGCGAAGCCCGCGTCGGGTCCTCCCCTCGTTTGTGTGACCGCTCCAGAAGGAAGTACGACCGACACCCGTATATCCAGCTGGCCTGGTTCGGAAAATCGGCTCTCGCGTAGAACAGCTATATTCACCTCTTGGCGCGCCATTTCTCGTTCAACTAGCACTGTCCTCCATCCCGACCGGACTACGTCTCGGATGGCCTAAAACGGAACGAACATTCCGGGCTGCCAGAATGAACGGATCCACCCTAACAGCCTGTCGGGTGGGGTTCAGGGAGGGGAGACAGGTGTTGTTGTTTTGTTGTTGTTTTTGTTGTTAGTGTCGTCGTCGTCGTTGTTTATTGGTCTTTCATCATGCGTTTTGCAGCCACTTGCCAAGGGGTTATTGCAGATGCCGTGGTTTATAGCATTTGATTAGGGCACCCTTTCTACCCTCTTCACGCGCGATGGGGTGAGCAGTGCTATCCCTAAATGAGACGGCTTGGAAATTCCATATGACGACCTTATTTCATATGGTTCACGAATTCAATTGGTAGTGAGCGACTCAGTTTAGACTTGGCCGGGATCGCATGTCAGCACCTTCTCAGGACTTTTTAAAGTGCAATGGGGAGGGAAGGGAGGGGAGTCGTTTTGAGAATGGGGAGGAGCGGGAATAGAGTCACGTACAGCACGGGATATCCCCACCCAGTCAAGCCCGCTGGTCGAAGCTGTTACTGTCGTATGGCCGATTGACAGTGCCTAACTCTGGGAAGACACAAATAAGTCTTGGTTGTCAGCTAAGGGTCATGAGAGGCGGACACCACTTGCATGACCTACCCTACCTAAGCGGTTTACATCTAACTAGATACCCTTACACGCCCGTCTCATTTACCAGCCACACACCCACGTCCCCAACGGTGCATAATTTTTATTGCACAGAAGCATACTGCTGATTGGTGCCCTTTTCACATGCTGAAGTCTTACTCCAAGAAAACTGACAAGCTTAAAATAAAATGGGAAGTTCTCGTCTTTAATAGTGTTATGTATGCAAAACAGAAGGCTAATTGGAAATAGGACGTGTACTGAGTACGATAGACAGCACATGTGAGGAGACTTGTGGAAACGGCCGGGTATATGGCAAGGGGGACTGTCATAGGCTGATGGGTGGCCAATCAGCAC